TCTTTTCAACGTTACAAATTTGTTTCACAATGCATCAGTTCATGTGTAAACAGTACCTTTAAACAGTAAGGAATATTTTGCAAAATCTAGTTGAGAACAGTTGACTGAAGTAAGTAGCTACATTTACACTAGTGAGTCTAAACTTTTGATGGGTAGTATATATCAACATGAGCAAGGTCATGTCTAGATTGTAATTGAAACTGTATTTTCTATTTAAGCTCACTATTATTGGTATTGATTGTTACATTTATTTGTACATATATACAGCTTCCATATATGTGCTGTTTATCAGAAATGACGGTGCCTTCCCACAACACATTATATAGTTTTTTTCTATGGACTACATTCATGTTTGTTGTCAGCTTAAAGTCAGGAAAGTTCCTGCTTCGTCACATCGTCCAGTACCTAATGACATGCGGACCAAGTATGCAACCCAGAGTCTGCACCTGAATCAACTTAGAAAAGCCATTTCCAAGGTCATCCTATCAACCAAATCTGTGCACCTGATACATTTGGTTACCTTTGATTTAAACACATTTTATCCACGAAAGAAAAGTATCGGGTACAAATTATCCAACTTAGAAAAGTCCTCTCCAAGGTCATCCCATCAAACAAGCTACAGTCTGTGCACCTGACACATTTGGACACCCACCTTTGATATAGACATATTCTTCAAAGAAGAAAAGGATTGGGCACATATTATCCAACTTAGAAAAGCCCTTTCCAAGGTCATCCTATCACCCAAGCCAGTCTGTGCACCTGATACATTTGGGCACCTTTGATTTAAACATATTTTCTTCACAAAAGAAAAGGATTGGGCACAAATTAGCCAACGTAGAAAAGCCCTTAGAAGAGCTGTTTACCTTTTATGACCTGCCTATATTGCTGGGGACCACTCCTAACCCAAAATATCTACGGGATAAGAATGTGTAACTGTTCACTTTACTGGAATGGCACAAATGGGGGCACCAACAATATGCACAGGTAGTTCATTAGTATCAGGCACATCAAGTCGCTATACATGTTCAGTCTTATCAGGAGACCAGGTGAAATCTGATCCTATGCTATGACACAATACCTCTCTGTAATATCATCTGATGAAAACTCCACATGAGGTAGCCTCAAATTACGATTCTAACCAGTGCCACCATCAAGGGTTCTAACTCTGAAAACAATTTAGCGCAACATTCATCAAATGTATAGGATTTCTTTACTCATAGATGAATTTAATTGCTCAGTTCCAAATGTAAATAAAAAAGACCACAGCTTTATAATGTGGATATTATACACATCCTGTCATTTCTGAATGACTGGCATCTTCAGATATTCTTTGAGAAAGGGATCATATTGGGGTCAAATTTGACCAGCTGTGACAGAGATTGAGCCACATCATATCACATCAGTACATTGATGAACTTTGTTACAATAAACACAACATGTGTGAACACACAATGACATTCACAAATATGATCCAGGATTAGAACTCACACTTTCAAAATACTGAAAGTGTAATCCCAAGTAAAACGTATGTCACAAGATATCCTCATACCAATCATACAAGGAATGAATTTACTGGATTCAAGTTAATAAAAACAACAATAGCTATGGACGTTTTGACACAGAAAAATAGCGAAAAGTGACAACAAAATAATGATTGTTTGTTAAACAACTTTTTTATTCGGGTGTCTAAAATTATGAAACAAATCATCAGATTGGGTCTGTCAATTTCATGTAGCTGTGCAAACTTTGGTGTTGTTGCAATTATTAGATTTTGTGTTACTGAGAAATTCATCGGTCTCAAATGAAATCAAACGGACTGTAACTAACACCACACTGTTGTATTTAACATAACTTAAGAACGATAATTGTAATGGTAAAAGGATAGTGATATAAAATAATAAATTTCACATTTTCATTGACAAAGTTTGTTACATCCCGTCTGTTCACCTGAGATATGAGATAGATTTAGAAGCCTGCGAGTACGTTTCAAGGTGACTGAAAAAATCGAAAACTGAAGTCTTTTGCTGAGTCTGCAGAGAACCATAACGAACCAACAAATACCATTAGGGAAATACTATCTATGGTGTACATATACCTACATTTGATAGATCAAGTGGATAAGCACTGCATAACAAAACACCCACAAATGAGGGACACAGGAAACACTGCTATCAAATACATAATCTCCGCACAGCTGGTATGGACTGGACTCAAAATTAACTGTAGTACATTTACATCAGATTCATGCTGCAGCTCCCATACCACAACCAATCTCTTGTCAGACAAGTAGAAAATACAATAAATCTAGAATTTGAACGAAGCATATATGCCTTTAAGTTCCAAAGACCAAATGTACCAGCTTTATTCATATCAGAGAGGATTTTTCATGTGTTTCAGATAATTCTTCTTTAATACACTATTTCACAAGTAGTTTGGGATCTAACAGATCAAAAGCTCAGCTGAGGGATAAAACAAACCTAATCTTTGACCACTGATTTATTCAAGACAAGGTGTTTTTATCTTTGAAAACTGGCACATATTTACAAGACAGGCAATTATTAAAGAATTTACACTCCAATTAATATTCCCTTATATGGCACTTTGCTCTATGGTCTAGTGTCTATTTACAGTCCATGTCTAGACATGGTTAATGCCATGTGTAAAAATGGGGTATTGTATCTGTGGAAAATCATTAGATGTTTGATTGTTATACATCAAACTTTTGTAAGAAAGCAGACAAGGTGGTATGACTTGAATCGAACACAGAAGGACTGGTGCGAGTTGAGGAACTCCTAAACAAAAACGGTTGTTGGTCATTACGTTTTTTTATAAATAATATGTTAGGATTTCTTAACAACTAGTTACATATATGATACAACTTGAGGCTGTAAGTGAAATAATGTGTTGGTCTTTTAGGTTCCCAAGGATGTTGTTTGTTACTTTATGTGACTTGAGTAATCTTCTCTAGATTTAAGGATTTCTTAACAACTAGTTACATATATGGCATGAATTTATTTCTGTAAGTAGGCCATCGGCCCATGTACAATCAGAGGATACAAAATATCATGTTAGACAAGGCAGTATACAAGGTTACACATTATTTACACACTTTTGATCTTATCACGAGGGCATGCTTGATAAACTGCACAGTTTTTAGAAGAATACTGGTATCATTACATTACATTAATTTTTTAAACTTAATGATAGTTGGACATTGATCAAAATTTGGTAAATATATACTACGTAACATAACATATGCATCACAGACAAAAAGAAAATGTAATTCATCCTCTGGGATATTATTGTTACACATTTTACATGTTGTTGAGGCATAATTATCATGTTTTCGTCTTACATTACACAGAAGGGGTAGGTGATGAAGTCTAAGTAAGCATAAATATCGTCTATATTCTTTAAAATGTACATTTGAAACATAAAACTCTACATCTAATAAAGATTTAATGGTAAAAAAATATAGTTACATATATGATACAACTAAAGGCTCTAAGTGAAATAGTGGGTTGATCATTCAGGTTACCAACGAAGTTATTTGTTACCTCACGTGACTTGAGCAATTTACAAATACACTATCACATTCTCCAATCGACACAGATGAAGAAATGTCAGGAGTTTGATTGACAGACTCACAGCAGATCAAGGATGGGTCCAGGAACTACCCTGTTCAGACACAATCTTTTGAAACTGTGACAGTTTCCCTATCATGTGTGTTGACTGTTCAGCTTGAGTATCACACTCTCCTTTCTCAAACCCATGGACCCACCATGGACATAATTTTGATTTAGATGTCAAATAGTCTTTTAAACGAACTATATTTGGGCAGATTTTCCAGAAAATGTCATACAAAAACCGTTTCCCTGACCCAGTATCCCAATCTTGACAGTTGTGTAATTGGACCCCAACATTTTTCATTTGTGTCTAATTGACGCCTCACAAAAACAATCCCCCTGTGATACTATCTAATAGATTGTTCACTTGCATGGGAGGGTCAGACAGCTTCATTAATAAATCTTGCCACTAACACCAGCAACAGAGACATATAGTGTGTTGATAAGTCGCACGGGTTTACAGTTAATTGAATTTAATGTAACAAGCTGGTGTTACTCCTCACACGTGCATTCCACTGACCCACTTTCGTAAGCACAAATAATTGGACAGAAAATAACGAATTATCCGTTTCAATTTCATCATACAAAAAATTGCTGACACAACAAAAACAACAACATTATAGTACTCAGCTGATCATGTTGACATTGCCATTTTAATGCTACCTCAACCGAACTGATCAGAAGCAATATTTTCATGTTTGTAAATAGACATATACCACCTGTGTTTTAAAAGATGATTATTGAAATTGTCAGTTTGTCAAGTCATCGGTATTCCATGAAAATGTTTCTTGATGTGATTTTACAGCAAAGAAATTGGTGTTGTTATTTATTGCTAAAATGGAATATGGGATACACTAGACATTTCAGAAACATGGTGGGAAAAGATCTAAACGTACTGAAAACATTTTGTCATCGTTGCTAGGTATAAAACATATTTGATAATAATATTGATTCCCCTGCTCTTTTAAATGAAAACAAATTAATTAGGTTCAATCTTAAAACATATTTTTCCACTAATTATCAAAAACGTATCTTTCTTCAACGTCCTAAATCACGACAATCGTACATTGTTCGAATTTACTTTTCGCACAGACCAGTAACAATATATCCCCGCTAAAAGCCTGCACATCTTGTGGAATTAAATACATTGTTGATGTTGAAGGCGTGCGATGAAGTTAAATAAACACTCATATATCACACCCATTATTTCCTGTGTTGTATCCGCGAAATATACGACGATATTGACTTCAGAGTGTACATAAGCTGTTAAATACGCCTACACACATAGGTCAACCCATTCACTGTACGAGACTGCACAACTTTTGGCGGTGTGTTTATCAGAATAAATCGCTGCACAAAGTTTGAACTGCTTACCTCATACTTGCGTCCTCGATCTGTGAAATATAAGTTAATATGTACAGTCAGGGCAAGACTGTATATCAATCAGATCGTCCAATGGCTTTAGAAAGCAGGAAGATTTGCGTGTGATTCAAAGAAGCCGAATAGAGTTGGGTCGCCACCGAAGGACCAGTGGACGGGTCATCGAACAGCTCACACAACATAACACCAGCTATGCGGACTTGCCATGCTGCGATCTAGATGACAAGTTGTGTTCTCGGGTTGTTGAAATCTACTGACGCTATCCACACAGGATCCCAGTCACACATGCTACCCTGACTGACTAACATGATGTTCCGTCTACCACTGACTTCTACCACTATATACACGTACTCGCACTGTTCCTAATACACACGGCGACGGTAATGTACTGTTAGTGGATCATTCCATTAGGCCAGGGGGTGTCAGGTTGGGCGATTCAAACCACCTACTGATGTTTCGGATTCGGACATTTTACTGAATATTCTCATACTGGTGTTACAAATACGTCAGTTTAGAAACAACTGATTCGAAACACTAAGAAATCATACTTATTATGGAATATAATTTAATGTCTCTGACCCTAATCCCTTCGAAGGCGGTTAAGGAGTTTGATGAGAGGGAAGCGACTTTGGAATGTTCCATTATTCAGACTTACTAGTTACACCTGTTAAAAGCTGACCTGTCAATCAACAGCTGACAACACACCTTACACATCAGCTCGTATGTATATTGAACAGTACATAGACATCGCTTATATGTATCTTCCTTCTGACTAAGTTAGTAAAACCCTAATGGTAGTAAATTTAGAGAGGCAAGAGGTGCAGCTGACTATAACACTATGGAGCCTAATAAACGCACCGTTACTCACTCTCACTCACTCACTCTCTATATGATTCTTTGCGTTTGTTGTTTAACGCCGCACTCAGCAATATTCCAGCTGTATGATGTCGGTCTGTAAATATCGAGTCTGGACCAGACAATCCTGTTTGACATCATGAGCATCGCAATTGGGATGCGATGTCATGCATCAACCATCTGATCCCGCCCATGACAAGACATCTGCCCCCATATACCATACATGTCAAGATAACTAACTTACTATACCATAAATGTCAAGACACCTAACTCACTATACCATACATGTCAATATAACTAACTTACTATACCATACATGTCAAGACACCTAACTCACTATACCATATATGTCAAGATAAATAATTCACTATACCATACATGTAAACATAACTATCTCTCTATATACCATACACGTCAAGATAACTCACTATACCGTACAAGTCAAGATAACTCACTATACCATAAATGTCAAGTGAGTTATCGTAAACGTCAAGATAACTAACTCACTATACCATACATGTCAAGATAACTAACGCATTATACCATACATGTCAAGATAACTCACTATATCATACACGTCAAGATAACTCTATACCATACACGTCAAAATAACTCACTATACCAAACATGTCAAGATAACTCATTCAATATACCACACATGTCAAGATAACCAACTCACTATACCGTTCACGCCAATATAACTAACTCACTATATCATACACATCAAGATAACTCATTCAATATACCATACATGTCAAGATAACCAACTCACTATACCGTACACGCCAATATAACTAACTCACTATATCATACACGTCAAGATAACTCATTCAATATACCATACATGTCAAGATACCTAACTCACTATATCATACATGTCAAGATAACTAATTCACTATACCATACACGTCAAGACAACTCACTATACCATACATGTCAAGATAACTCACTATACCAAACATGTCAAGATAACCAACTCACTATACCGTACACGCCAATATAACTAACTCACTATATCATACACGTCAAGATAACTCACTATACCATACCTGACAAGATACTAACTCACAATACCACACGTCAAGATAATTAACTCACTATACCATACATGTCAAGATAACGCACTATATCATACATGTGAAGATAACTCACTATACCATACATGTGAAGATAACTCACTATACCATATATGTCAAGATAACTAATTCACTATACCATATGTCAAAATAACTAACTCACTACACTATACATGTCCAGATACCTAACTCACTATACCATACATGTCAATATAACTAACTCACTGTACCATGCATGTGAAGATAACTCATTCAATATACCATACATGTCAAGATAACTAACTCACTATACCGTACACGTCAAGATAACTAACTCGCTATATCATACACGTCAAGATAACTCACAATACCACACATGTCAAGATAATTAACTCACTACACCATACACGTCAAGATATCTAACTCACTATACCATACACGTCAAGCTATCTAACTCACTATGCCATACATGTCAAGATAACTAACTCACTATACCATACACGTCAAGATAACTAACTCAGTATACCATACATGTCAAGATAACTCACTATACCATACATGTCAAGATAACTAACTCACTATACCATACACGTCAAGATAACTAACTCACTATACCATACACGTCAAGATAACTCACTATACCATACATGTCAAGATATCTAACTCACTATACCATACACGTCAAGATAACTCACTATACCATACATGTCAAGATAACTAACTCACTATACCATACATGTCAAGATAACTAACTCACTATACCATACATGTCAAGATAACTAACTCACTATACCATACACGTCAAGATAACTAACTCACTATACCATACATGTCAAGATAACTCACTATACCATACATGTCAAGATAACTCACTATATCATACATATCAAAATAACCAACTCACTATACCATACATGTCAAGATAACTCATTCAATATACCATACATGTCAAAATAACCAACTCACTATACCATACATGTCAAGATAACTCATTCAATATACCATACATGTCAAAATAACCAACTCACTATACCATACATGTCAAGATAACTCATTCAATATACCATACATGTCAAAATAACCAACTCACTATACCATACATGTCAAGATAACTAACTCACTATACCGTACATGTCAAGATAACGAACTCCCGCAAGTCAGGACACATGTCAAAATAATTAAGTCTCACATACGAGGAAGGCATTGTGGGTTATCGTATCGCTGCCTAAGTATCACGATAGATAGATATTGTGCCGTGTCCTTACGATTACTATCTGTCGTGATATGATGACATCGTACATTATATAATTATTGATTGTCAGTCGAGCAGAACTCGTTGGGTTATGATTGATTGCGTTTGGTTTTACGTAGCACTCAGCAATATTCCAGCTATAAGGCGGCGGTCTGTAAATAACCTAGTCTGGACCAGACAATCCAGTGATCAACAGCATGCGCATCGATCTACGCAATTGGGATACGATGACATGAGTCAACCAAGTCAGCGAGCCTGACCACCCGATCCCATTATTCGCCTCTTACGACGAGCATGGGTTGCTGAAGATCAATTCTAACCCTGATCTTCACGGGTGTTGGGTTGTGAACTTGTGAAATGTCGTTTGCAAGACACACATACATATATACACATACACACACGCGCACGCACACACTCACATATCCACAAACACACATATGCACTGCGAAGATTGAAAAGGGTCCAACAAACTCTTCGTACTGCAATCATAAAATACACGCGGAACAAATCGAATCAAAAGTTATCGCGACTAACCGAAATCCACTTTTAAACCACAATCAGACATAAGTTCTATATTAACCATGCACCTTTACTTTCTTTCAACAGTCAATTTAAAATATTCCTCTATTTATAAAACTCTTCAAAAAGTAGCACACTTCTATGCGTGCGCCATCGTGTGATGATAAATGTAAACTTAGCTCCATTCATACAGTACGACCTTGTCTATAAATGAATTGGTAACTAAAAGCTGTGTTTCTATTTCAATCAAATATATGAAAAATCATATTTCAGGTAGAGTAAAGTCTCTTTGCTCTATTCATAGCATCAGTGCCGGCGAACGAAACAATTGATGACGATGCTGAAGGCGACCCTCCTCGCCACCATATGATCCATGCGCCATATGCGTGTGACGTCAAGCAGCTCCCGCAGATATGAAAATAGTGTGTCTCCTCAAATAGATGACTCTTTATTCTCTTGGGTAGTTATTTGAAATAAGAGTCATAATGCTCTATATAGATCCATTGTTTCTTGCGAGTTTCGATTACACCAGGTGCGCATATTGATTTGTGCCTTCGAGGAGGGCTGCATTCAATGCCATAGAAGTGATGTTTAACTTTATTGCATCAATTTAGGGGACTAGGGATGACCCAGATGTTGACAGTTGTAACCCGACATCAGTTTGTACAGATGAACTTTGTTGTAATGTTTTATAGATTGTCAAGAATCTGGGCTCCACCGACCAGGGTGTCATTAAACAAGAATAAAGTAATGCGAGAAAGCAAGGTAAAAGTTCACAGTTTTATCACTAGAGGCTGAATGAACTAAAGACGGGCGAACTATGACACCAAGACTCCAGTTATCACTGACAGGGGTCGCTGATTAACAAACCATGATCAAATATACAATCTGATCAGCTCAGCAACGGCATGACCGCTATTACCTAAGATAGCTGAAACCCCTCTCGGGCAAGGCAGCTGAACCAGTCGCCTGTGATCAACTTGAAACGACCGTATCATGATATATATTTTTAGCCTTGTCCCGACTTCAACATTTGTAATTTTTCAGCATTTTTCAAATTTATATTCTAGACAAAGAAAACAACCACGGGAGAAATGTATACCCTCATTTGTGAATCCTGTAGTTGCAATGGTGCTCAGAACAGGCTTTATTCTTTTGCACTATAGGAGCTACACGATATCCGGGTCGGTAGGGTAGCCCCGTGGTCAAAGCGTTCGCTCGTCACGCGACCCGTGAAGATCCGGGTTAGAATTGATCTTCAGTAACCTATGCTTGTCGTAAGAGGCGACTAACGGGATCGGGTGGTCCGGCTCGCTGACTTGGTTGACACGTCATTATATCCCAAATGCATAGATTGATGTTCAGGCTGTTGATCCCTAGATTGTCTGGTCCAGATCCGATTATTTACAGACCGCCTTCATATAGCTGGAATATTGCTGAGTGCGGTGTAAAACTAAACTCACTCACTCACTCACTCGCTCGTCACGCCGAAGACCCGGGTTCGAATCTCCACATTGGTACAATGTACGAAGCCCATTTCCGGTGTCCTCAACCGTGATATTGCTGGAATATTGCTAAAAGCGGCGTAAAATCCAACTCACTACAAGATACCCGTCGGAAAAATTCATTGTCGAGATACCCGGTTAGGAATACTTGTTGAATTTGTTCTTTCACAGCTACTGAGAATTTCACC